ATTTTAATATATATTAGCATAATTTATTTTATTGATTGAAATAAAACCGTGACACGTGTATTTAGATATAATAATAATATTATAAATATAACACTCACCAGTGTGTTTTTGTCGACTGTTCCGAACAAGAACTGATTTATGAATGAAATTATTCGAAGTAGGCAATGAGAGGTAATTAGAGGTATTTATAATATATGAATCACTTAAATAACTATAATTTGTTAATTACAAATATCTAAATTGTTGACGTATATTACTTAATAGACAATTAGGTTAGGTTATTATGCATTAATGATAAATACAGTATAAGCACCGTGCAAATTTTTGATTAATCATAATGTTTAATTGTAAGTTCGTGAAAAAGGAAGATCTTGAACAAGTTATTTTGAAACGTAACATAACTATGAGAGCAAATTATTTAGATAATAGAGTGTTCAACCGTGCTGTCGCTTTTTTGGATGATGATAATGGGAAGCAGCTTCCCTCTTGAAATATTAACAAAACCTAACTGATTTTGCCAACTCATCTGCCAAGCATAACAACTACTCGCAAAATCTATGATATTATGATGAAATATGATGAATTTTATCATTAAAAAATCAGTTACAATAATTGAGGATATTGATATAAGGAGACGGCATGTGAGCTTACTGATTGAGCAATAAATATTGTGTCAAGCAGACATATAGAAAAATTACCTAAAACGTAGACCACACTGTAGACCAAACCTTCGTCCAGCTTAGTGGACGTAGCTGCGGCATATTTCAGACTGAAGTCCACACTACAAATTAGAGAGCAAGCTAAACCATTAACTATGTCTATCAGCTCGACTAACCATCGTTATCTGCGCAGGAGTGAAGATCAAACAAGCGTCAACTGACACTCTGTCCCGTTACTACATATTTAGTATACCTCTCTAACTTACAAATTACAATTTCGACTAATAGAGAATTTCCTCACTATTTTACTAATTAAGAAATTAGTAAAAAACACTTCGGAAGCTATAAATGCATTATTAGACGTTTGACATTTTTATAAAGCGGTTACAGGACTACGCTAAGTGAGCTAATCTAAACAAAGTTAGGATCGCTTAGTTTACCTTACAGTGTGGCCTTTACTTAAGGCTGGCAAATTATACACCGCCAGTACGCCGGTTCTGTCTGACACGCCGCCCTCCTTTCTATTTCTATGCATAAAACATTCGCCCTCCATCCGCAAGAGACAAATACAGCTGTATCGACTGACGCATGCCAGATATATCAAATATTTATTGTGAATTTATGAGAAATAAACAGTACTGGCGTTTGGATTAGTTTATTGAACACCGGTTCGACATATGAAGTTCCTGTGTACGATATAAATGAAACATATGTATATAACATTATATTTATACAATCGGCTAAAAGAGTGTGAAAAATAAATTATACACAGAAGAAATTGGATGTGAACATGTGTGTGTTTGTCTTTTTTTTTTTTTGTTTTAGTTACAGTTGTTTGTATGTAAAGAAAAAAATAGTAAGTAAATAAAACAACTTTAACAAGCACAATCACTATTCTTATTGGTAGAATATTTAAAACAGGGAATAATTTTTGTGCTGGATTTCCTGACTCCATTCTAATATACCAGACAAAGGCTTTATTTAGATCCTATATTAGTTTCTGAAACAGACCAACTCCAGTAGCACCACCAATAACATAATCTTGATTGTTAAATCGAATATATTGTTCAAGTTCCAACTACAATCAATTTAAACCTTACCTCGTGGAAATAAGGACATATATTCTTTACATCTGTATAATTCTTGTTCAATAAGAAATTTACCTTTCCGGACAGTAATTATTATCCGTTGTGATTAATGTCAATCGATTTACTTAAATTAGAAATCATCAAGCTCTTATCGACTTGACACGGTACATGTAAGTACATAAGTTACGCATAGGGTTGGCTATTCTTGAGTTTTGTAAAAATAATATCTATACAATATCTACACCTCTAGATTCAATTGGCATATAAACCATTTTGCTATATAGCTTATACGAAAATTGACAAGGTCTACTCCAGAATTACGAATACACGAAACGATACACAAATTTTTGTATAACTCAAATTACGGCTCTGATAAAATTTGGAGACTTATATAGGATTTCGAATTTTCTCATTTGAAAGTAGACCTACTGTCCTCGCCTTTACTGTACTCTTAATTATCCAAAAAAAATGTGATTACTTAAATAATATACCAGCATCTCATAAGATTAAATTGATATTAAAATGATTGCGCGATTGACTTGAAAATCATGTTGTTTAACAGAGTTTTTTATTTCAATCATCACTGCAAGCCTTACACCCATAACAACATGTAGAAAAATAGGGAGATTTTTGTAGGTCGTAAGTTGAAAAACAACTAGTCGTTTAGAAACAATATCACACCATAGATAATTTATTAATTGTAGGACTTCCAATAATCTAGTACGCAACCCTAAATGGTAGTACATGACCGCATAGTACGTATACAAGATACTGCAGTATAAGCATTATTCGAGTAGTTATCGAGTCGGCAAACGTCGCCGGAGATCACGTAGGGGACCGGTCGTCGTGAGAGCGCGCCTCCGCCACGGCCTGTGTTAAATTACCGCCATTCGAGTCGCTTGCCGATCGTGATCGTAAAAATGTGCAAGCTAACGGAAAAACTGCACCATGTGTTCGAAATACGAATAACTCACTAAAGCCAACTTTAATAAAACAAATTTTTAAAAATGCAATCACTTGCTTACATTGGAGTTTTGACGCATTGCATTCAATGATCGGTGTTGATTGAGGTCAAGCAACTTTTATTGCAGTCATTTCACGGATGGGTGGGCATATAGTTGGCAAAGATATGGTACAGTTTGTCAATTTGAGCTTTTTGTTTTATAGAGATGGCTGCACTGAGCCGTCAAAGCAGATTGTTATTGCCAATAAATGTCCTTAAGGCAAGTCAATAAGGCTTTTGACAGACTGGAAACCTTATTATTAAGGTTACTTGACTTTTTAGATTTCTATGGTTGGCACTAATCATAATCCACCTAGTAGATTAGGTGCATAGTCCTGTATGGGGTGAAAGAAGATCACGTCTCAACCGAGGGATCGGAAGGTTAATATTATTGTTATTTTGAAATGGCGGCGTATTTTTTACGGGGGAAGAGCAGCTGAAAGATTTATGAACCGAAAGATGAGTGAGACTGCATTCATAAATCACTGTCCAATAATACAGTCCATAATCCTTTCGGTTCAACTTTCAACAATTTGAATATCTTTTGTTCTCCTCGTAAGTTGTTTTCCTATACCTATTCGACTAAATACATTTTTATCCACCTGGATATCCCTTTAGAGATAAACCTATAAATTAGATCTGGAAGGTAAGTCTCATAAAAAGTATGCAGAAAGTACATACACATTTCACTTCATTAACATAAATATTTTATAGGGATAAAAAAATAAGACGCTATTCTAAAGCACCGATCATATTCAATTTAAGAAACTTTATCGCTAGATTCAAGCTGCCTTTACGTTAAGTCACTTATCAAAATCGATTTGGGATTAATCCCAACTACAAACTTTCGTTTATGATATCAGCATGAAAGTTTATAATGTTTGGTAATTTTCAAGATTAGCATGTTTATTTTAGTATACTAAGACATAGCGGCAAACTGATACGACATGAATTGATAATACTCTTCTTTGTAACTGGCATAAAAATTAATTAAAAGTGCAATATACAACTATAAGAAATATCATTGCATTAAAAATATTTAGAAAATATAGTGAATTTTTTTATTGTAGTTAAGTATAAAATTGTATTTAACAACATAAAAATATCAATAAATAATTTGTCATAGGAGAGGTTCCCGCTAGATAAGATTACAATTTTATTGCGAATGTCACATTCAAGTGCGTTTATATGTGTGGAAAATATTCCAAGAATCACACGCACGTGTGTGTGTGTTATATACATACGATATATAAAACGCTACTCGCACACATCCACAGAACCGAGCACCCATTCAGTCGTCACAAAACGAAACTGAATGCCATTTCATCTCAAGATGCGCCTCTTGCCACACAGATCTGAGGGGTCACGGGTGGGCGGGGAGGGATGCCGAGCCGCCCGGCAACTGCGCCATAACTCGCTGCGCACGTACAACCAGACAATCGCAATTATTATTAACAGATATACGTTTAATGATCGTGTGTTCCGCGCTCAAACGGCCCGATGTAATTTTAACGTATTCGATGCGAGCGATTGTGGTGTTTACGTCATAATGGCATTCGTGTGAAAATCGCTTAGTGTAAGGTGGTGATTGTGTCCTTTTGGGGGTGGGTGTTACTGCGAAGACGGCGTCTGGGACGCGCGGGGGCGGTGCAGGGGGGCGAAAGCAGGACGAGTTCTTGCGGAGTGAGTTAGCGTCGATGATTTGTAGCGCGGTTAGCGTTCATCTAGCGGACTGTCGAGACACGGGACATAACTCATCAGACAAAGATGGATCGTTACGGCAAGGAATATTAGTGCCATGTGTCACGGATTGTCACAAACTTATGGCGCGCCATGACGTTGCGCAAAGCCGTGAACTCAGACCGCGTGCGGACATTGGCACGCGAACGAAATATCGCAAATTCCAAAAGTGAAAACACGCAAAAGAGAGCTCCAGGACGGTCCAAATTTGAATTCGTTCAATATTCGTCTCTAATATAGTACGTTTAAAAATGTAATAAATCAACGATATTTGATTTACTTTTATTGGATAAATACAAGATAAGAATAACAAATATGAGTTAGCCTAAATATAGAATGGTAACGCGATCAAAAGCATGGTTTCTTATCTTCATACATGGACAATCCGTTGTTAATTTAATATCTAAGCGAATTTTCAATTTAGGTCCAAAGACCAAAACGTATAGTAGTTATATGTTTTATTGGCTGATTAAAATTAAAAACAATATGTTAAACAAATTAATAACTTACTTAGCAGTCCAAATTTTTGTTCCGACCACCAACAAACTAGAACAAATAAAATTTTAAATTAGTATACAATAACAATAAATAAAACTAAACCAACACCAAACAGCAATTGGAAACCAAATTACTATCACTTAATAACTGCAATGTTTAGTAACAAGGTTTATCGTAACAATACTCCTACGGTTCATCAGGATTCTAAAAAAAACCGACTTCAAATAGGACAAAATTAATGTAGGATTAACATATCAGAGTATTATAGAAATTCCTATATCTATGTCATTTCAAAATGTATGAAACAATCGCAAGTATACAAAAACAGATAAGAGTAAATAATAAAATCTAAAAATATTTTTTCAACCTCTCCTACTACGCGCAAATCGATACCGCGTGGCTGATATGTAAATTTAAAAAAATCTTTAGCGTATTTGACTTTATTCTTAAGGGCAACTTGTATAGTTTTATGAATACTTCTTCGACTTAGTATAAATACCTTTTACGACTTAACCCTGTATAAATAAAAAATTCGAACAGTCCTATAAAAAGTACCTTAGATTCAATTGTCGTATAAACCACATATTAAATTGAAATGTACGATGACAATTGAACCAGCATTCAGTGTAAATCTATAGATAATAGTAACAACTCGAGAAAAAACACGCTTCGGATCAATCAATCAATCGCTTGTCGCATAAACAAAATGCCAAAATGGTTTATACGACAATTGAACCCGAGATTTTTTCATTGTAATAATATGTGTCGATGAGAATGTTGAATATACGATTTAGGTATATCGATAACCTATACTTATCACTCCAACAAATTTGAAACTGCTAGCCATTATTATCAGATTTTTTTTTGCAACTTAGAATGGCAAACAAGCCATTTAGTGGGCAAATACATAAATAACCGAAAACGGTAGTTGTATAAATACAAATAAGACTTGTATAGTTATTTATTCGAAACCTCTCAAACTCCAGAAGCATCTAAGTATTTACATTACCATATTCGACAAATTACAATATAAAAGCCGGTTTCATCTTTAAAATGTCTATTATGGTAACTCAATAAATAACAATGATTCAAAATTTAATATACAGGGCGAAATAGAAATATACATAAGATACTATTGCAATGTTTATGTATATTTCTTATGTATTACGTGTATGTATAATTATTTTATTATGTTACAATAATTATGTCACATCTTTTTCATCACCATTATTTCTCATACACTTTCTATTTTTACCTAATGGTTAACTTTAGCTGGTAGAAAATGTCATATGGCATTAAGTTCGCCACTTGTACAATTGTATTGTGCAATAAAGAATAAATAATAATAATAATAATTCGTATTAGGACAAAAATTTCTTGAATGAAAAATTCAAAAACGACAAAATATTTCGAATATCCCGTACTACTCTGAACAAACGGCAACAGGGCCATCTTAGTATGGGTGGCTAAAAACTTTCTCAATGTGGATTGAAATATGTAAAAATGTTTAGAACCGTTGATAGAACACCCCCGATGATAGCGATTATAATTTCAGCCTGTATAAAATGTACAATTATATGACCCAGTGTTCCTTTTCGGCGTGTCGCCCGCTAGCCGCCGCCTGGCGAGGGCGTCGCTGTAGGTAGACGAACGAAATGGACAATGCGCATAAAAAATCAATAAAAGCCGGGCCCGGCCTTCGTGGAGGTCGAATGACGCTTCGCATCACCACCGGCCGCCTAAGCTATATATTATAATATATACAAACAAACAACGAAACAATAGTAATAAACATTTGTTATATCAACGGTTATCCACCAAAATACGTGATGACATTTATAAAATAGATGCAATCTTTTTTTATTTACTCTTATCTCCTTTTCCATGTTACATAGAAAAATAATTTTTGCATAAATTCTTGTTTTCTATATATCCTATAAAGTTTTGTTGTTATTAAATATTGTCATTTTATTGACTTTAAATTTTAACGAATGAACAGCATTTCATGAAGATGATAACACAAAAAGAAAACCGCATAGGCTTAAATATCAAAGATCTATTTTACACTATAAATAATTTCATTTAATCGTCATAACACACTACTTACTGGACACCAATAGTCCGCAATAAAATGATATTAGCTCTCTTTTATTGCAGCGACAATGAAGTTCGGTTAATAAAAAAAAATTAAGATGCCCTCTCGCACTCATTGTTTCCCTTGTCATTCCTTACGACATACTATCTACGAGAAGTAATAACTACAATTGCATTTTTACTTTGTCACCTCATGAAGACTACACGTCATGAAACCACCTAATTTTAAACAAAACCAGAAAACAGCAATTTGTATGCTGTTTCGTTTGAAGCTGCATGGCGGAAATAACAGAGAGAATAAAATATCATATATTATTATCGACGTGTTATCAATACACATCATACATCGCATGCCGATAAGAGAGCACAATTATAAAATGTAACTTGGCCATAGTTCAAAGAGTTAACGCCGTTTCATTCAGTGCCAAGCGCAATATTTTTAGTTGAGAGTGACAAGCAACTTTGGTGCGCGTAATCACCTAAATTTGTCCCACCGTGCACGCGTATGTGCAAATGAAACATAACAGAGAAGCATTCGAAATATGCAATATAACTACCAAATTACAATTCACTTAAACATTAAAATATTGTAGGTATGTACAGGTTTTTTTGTGGGATGCAAATAGGAAGGTCATCTCGTTTACAATATCAATATATGTTGGTGGGATACTACCGAAATATGATAGGTGAAGATAAAGTCAAATCAGTTGGAAAATCGTTACGAATTAACTTGAAATTAACCACAATGTTATCCAAGGGGGCCGTGCAGAAATCAATCTAGGCATAAGATGGAAGGAAAACACTTTAGGATACTTCATGACAACTCCACTCAAAAAATACTAACAATATCATCAGGTCATAGTAAATTACAGCCAGAGAAAACTTTGAGCACTACGAAGGGATTTCCCAAAACTTCCACTGGTATAGGACATACCTTTTGCAGGGATAAATTAGCGTACATAATCCGTGGAAGCGATGAACAAAATAATGTCCATGTTCAATTACAAAATTTTATTAATAAATCGTTACAACACATGTTTTAATTGCGATTAATTGCTTACAAACTCCATATAAAGTTCTGTTTACAAAACCACACCGATACGGAATAAATTAAATAATTTAGCAACATATGACCCTTTGACTTTAAAATGTCTGTAGGGTGTAGACTAGAAAATCAAATAAGATCGTTATGAGGTCAATGAATATAAAATTATATAATTGCCGATATCACCACGAGCATAACAAAATAACCCACACAAAGTGAGACTAAAGATACTAGCTTGTTCTGGTGATTTCGTTTACGTGAACTGGATCTATCTACACTACTACTACAGTAAATGAATATTTAATTCTATTGAAATATTCCAGTGGTTTTATATTAATGGCGTTATAATTCCATTCAAATGCCGCAGTCGTGCAAAGCAAACATTCTAATTTGATAGGCAATGGATAAAGAGTACGCATGATGTACGGAATTTAAATTGAATAACGACGTTATTATTGTGAAACTGGCAGATTTCAATATAAATAAACAGGAATATATAATATATCAAAACTTGTACTTGATAAGACAATGATAGTAAGCATTGTCCTGTTTCTTGCTTTTTAATTTGTCATATTTATCCCTATAGTTGGGTTAAACAGGTTAGGACTTTTCCTTTTATAGTTATTTAGTACCATAGTCGGGGGGAAAGGGATTGTTAGTAATGGAGACTGAGAATCTCATTACTAGCAATATACCCAACCAGGTCGAACTCCTCGCGGTTCCCCCTGGAAACTATCATGATTAATTCCAGATGAATTCATCATAATGGGCTAACTGGCCTGATTTCATCCTCATCGGTCACCATTCACTGATGCCCTGGCAGCGTATCCCGTTAGCGCAGGCGGGGTTACCATTCCATTTTCGTCAAATAGAAAAAAAAAGTAAGTCGAGTTACAGTTTTTAAAAATTTTCCTTCTATCCCATTGTGGCACACAACCACAGAACGGCCAATAGTACCTTAATAAATAGACATACTTACATATTAATAATTACTTAATTACGATAAACCATTGAAAACTGTATAAAGGAGAAACCGATTTAATAATATTTGTATAAAGAAACAATTTGTGGAATAGTACGAAAGTTATCAACAATGATTAGGCATGTACGTCACTAGGTACTACACATTCTCACATTATTTATGCACATACGTCTGGCGCATAATATCTACGGCACTGTTACTGCAGATCGTATTACTTGACACACACACATAGATACATACATATATATTTTTTAAACACGATAATTCCACTTTCTTATCGATAAAAATCTCAACCTATTTTACCTATCGAAGTGCTTAAGCTTTTTCTTTTGTGCCAAATTTTCAGTTCGAAATAAACAGACAAATCCCTTCAATAGCTAAAATAGATTTGTAGTTTTTGCCCCTTATGAATAAGGGAGATAGTGTTCTCGCATTAAAACCCCGAGAGAAAATATAATTCGGGTTCAATATTAATAATTGAACTTACTTTGATAATTCTCTCCAGAGTATGAAAGGGTTGTATGAAAAGATATTACATTTGAAGTCAACTTATTTAACATATAAGGCATAATAACCCTACCACGTGGGATTTTAATAATTAAGCTTTGTGAAATATGGGCATATGAAATCTTACGATTATCACACAAAAGCTTATAAACAAAAAAAATTATCCTGATTGAAACAGCGATAAGGTAACAAAGCATAAGACAGAGAAAAATCAGAGAAAAATTCTAAACAAAACTAACAAATCGATTGGCTAGCGTGTGGTAATGGTAAGCTAATTATCCTCCTATCATGCGAGTAACGTGTCATCAACGATATAATAGCATTTTTACTGATTCACTACTCACTTGCAATATTATAATGAAAAGTGGATTACATTCATAATAGTACATTTACACGAGTCGGCAAAGTGCACGTGTCACC